ATTATTCGACTACTGTGCAGCGAAAAGAGAACTACAAGTTGAAAATAGATATGGCTCTCAAAGTTTTGGGTCTTGCACTCCTGGCCTTCTCAGTCATCGAGGCCGCACCTGACAGTCATTTGTTGGTAAGAAATGCAAAATATTTTTTATTCCCATTTAAATATCAAAATATTTAAATATTTCTCATTTACGGAATATCCTGTTTTTATCAAAATCCAATAGCTTTTTCGGAATTCCTCAATTTCAAAGATTCCAAATCCAAATACGTCCTTTGTTTATAATTCCATGTTTCAGAAAATGTAGCAATTTTTTGAAGAATCACGAATTTGAGTTAGATCTGGTAAATTTTAAAAGGCGCATTAACAAATTTTTAATGTACGTAATCGATTGCATTCATAGGGCCTACCAAATCCTACCAATATCGCGGAAAGGCTGGGAAATAGTTTACAAAGAGTTCGTAATGAGAATACAGATGACCTTAAGGCCACCATTAAGAGAGTTGGTGAATTTGGTCAAGCGGCTATCGATAGTGGAAACTCATCTATTAATCTCATTAGAGGTATTGTTAGAACACCAATTGACTACGTAAACAAGGTAGACGCAGCTAACGGTTCCCTCACCAACATCAACGACGTGAACAAGTAAATTGAAAATAATTACCTGAAAATATTTTTAATTCAATTACAACTGAGACAATTATTAACAAAATGTATGTGTAATATATTAGAGTGACACCCGGTGTAAAGAAATACTTCAAAATTGTTTTAAACATTGGTTTTTACTGACTGTTCCAGCAAATGGTTGGACCCCTTGAAGGAAATCGTCAATGAAAATGTCAAACGTGCCGGGGACAAACTTCATAAAACGACCACTCTTGCTCAGAGTACTAGCCAGACTATTGGGACTGGCCTAAGAACAAAGGCGAATATTTTGACAAGCCCATTCCGAACTGTATCTTACGCTACAAAAGATCCTTCACAATCTGCGAACAATGGCCAAGCAGGAAATTACGGTAACCCAAGCAACCCCGGCAACTTCGACAACTTTTGGAACCAAGGTAACTCTGGCAATCCAGGCAACTTCGGCTATCCCGCTAACTCAGGCAATGCAGGCAACTTCGGAAACCCAGGTAATTTTGGCAATCCAGGCAATCTCGGTAACCCAGGCAATGTAGGCAACTTCGGCTATCCCGGTAACCCAGGCAATGCAGGCAACTTCGGCTATCCCGGTAACCCCGTCAATGCAGGCAACTTCGGCTATCCCGGTAACCTAGGCAATGCAGGCAACTTCGGAAACCCAGCTAACTTTGGCAATCCAGGAAATCTCGGTAACCCAGGCAATGCAGGCAACTTCGGAAACCCAGCTAACTTCGGCAATCCAGGCAATCTCGGTAACCCAGGCAATGCAGGCAACTTCGGCAACGCAGGCAATGCCGGCAACCCAGGCAACCCCGCCAACTACGGCAA